GAGACCCGGCCGCGGCAGACAACATCTTTCTGCTTGCGCTGGGTATGGAAGTTATAAAATACACAATCTAGAACATTTTCATCTTAACATATCACAGAGTGTACAACTAGAAGTTACTATCGCAAGGAAAGTGCTGCCTCATCCCCAAGGGATTAATGGCAGAATGCACAATTTGGTGAATAAGGGGCTGTTTATATGATCCCGCTATTACGACGCACTAGTGGTCTGTAACATTCCAACTTTGCATTCAAGACGTGAACAAGTGTGCTCGGCATTATTTAAGAATAAAGTTGTCCCGGAGTCTAGTCTCGCTATCAGGTCTGGTAAAGATCGCTGCAATTCCTAATTAAGATCTACGTGCCCCAAAGAAACTTGCACCAATCAAATGCAGAACAAACCGCTTCAAAAACTCTTTTATTCCGTCGTTTGTCGAACGTTTTAATAATTCTTAGTACCTAGGCTTCAGACTCTTATCAAAGTTTAACCGTTTTTAGTCGTAGGTTACATATCCATAATTAACAGATATGAGAATTTTTAATATTTTTATAATAATTATTCGTATTTTACATTTAATAGTTAAGCATACAGTTATGTTTATGGATGTATTTCAACCGTTTAAGGTTGTAAAATCCAAATTTTAATAATAATAATAATTCTAACATTATTCTCATGATGTTTTTTATATCATTATATCAAACTAAAACCACTCCCAAATACATAAAGAATACATAAAGGAAACTAAGTAAGTTATACTTTAAAATTTAAAGTAAATTTTTAATGCAAAATATAATAAAATTAAAAAATAAATAAATACCCAGAGCCTGGGCCACCTGTGGTTTTATATGACAGGGCTCGAAATAATGTTTCCAACGTTCCCGATCATGGTGATCAGCATGCAGTCATGATTTTCTGCTGATCAAATGAAAATCTGGCCGCAGGATAGGTTCTGTTTATATGTTCTGTTTATATGTTCTGTGATAATGCTGTAGTATCGCATGGTGTTCATAACAACATTAACTTACAGTGCTTTTGAGACAATGATTCTTGCCGATCAAGATGATCGGCAACCTTGCTTCTCTGCAGATCAAAAGAAACTCCTGTCGACCATTGATCGTTGATCGGCCGTTATTTCGTGCCCTGATATGAATACCTTCAATGCTTACAACTTCTTGCTTTTGTATGTATAATTATAGTTATGTCAGTGTTGAAGCTAGCCATAGCAACAGGTCATGCTATGCAAGTATTTAATGATTTGTATCATTCAAATAGATTCAGGTTTATCAACATAGGCATATAGCATGACCAGTAGCCATGACTAGCTTGCCACTGAATACTGTACAATATCATATATTTATATTTATTATATAAACATAAGTGTTATATAGAGTTTTTGGCCACTGAGAAAAATCGTATTTAAACACACGTAAAAAATACGATATTTTTACGTGTGAAAATACCATTTGTTGTAAAACGCATTGCCACGGACGTTTTATTGTTTTTCACTGAATTTTGTTTATATAATAAACAGAAAAATACATGGGTGCTTGGAAATACCAGATTTATTTCTCGTGTTGAACATGATATCTCACTCGTTCGCTGCGCTCACTCGTGAGATATCATGTTCAACACTCGAAATAAATCTGGTATTTCCAAGCACCCATGTATTATTCTCTATATAGTACATAAATTATAATACTTGAATGAATCATTAGACATGTAGAATTTAATAACAATTTCATGTATAGAAATACTATAATACAAAACTACCTCTATCACAGAACAACTGACATTTTTGTTTAATACATCAGCTTCAGATGACACCATTCATTTGTAATGATTAAGATTGTACTCAGTCAGAACTTCAAAACTATATAATAAGAATGAAATTGTGAGCATTATCGAAAAATATAGTATACCCTAAACAGAAGTGACACAGCTAGCTAGGTTAAAATTTGAATATATTATGTAAGCCGATAGGATTATTTCATATTTAATAATGCTGACAATGGCAATGGGTATCTCAGAGAGATATCTTTACAGACTGCCATACCTTGTACAAAAGTCGGTTGACATGCTATTACATGTAACTGCTAGTGAGTTAATATGTGCAGACAACCATGGGCAGATTTACTGGGGGGGAGGGGGGCTAGTTGAGGTTAACCCCTCTCTAACCCCAAGGTGTTATAAAGTGTTCAACCCCACCAACCAGTCGCTTCACCCCTCTTACTTAGTGTGAAAGTCTTTAACCCTAACCCTTGCTGAATTTCGGTGGTGCTGCTTGCACCCCACCAGAAAATATTTTGCCACCCTCCTTTTATAAAATGAAAATCCGCCCTTGCAGACAACAATCCATACAGGATTGCATGCTATACTATAGTATAGGGATAACTTTATATTAAATATTAATAAGCCTGATCATTAAGCCCTGCTACTCAACATTCCACGTTTCAAACGGTTTGTTTTTAAAACGTGCTGAAAGCACATTGCTATATACATGTAGAATAAACACTATAATTAAACTATCGCCTTTGGACATCACCACACAAACAAATAAACTAAAAGTATAGATTTTGACTACTTGTATAAAGGCGATCAGTGCAGGGACAGCGTAAATTCTGAAATTCATGACATAAAATTCATGCTGAATCTAACTTCATGAAATCATAGTGTTCTAAATATAAATGCCTTCATGTATATATAATATTACCAAAAAGAAATAAAGCTATCCTTACCTGAATTATTGAAAATATTGTCCATGTTTTGCGTCATGAAAATGTAAATAAGCTCGTACAGTGCATTTGTGCAAGATAAAAAAAGTTGGACCGCCCCCCTCGTTTAAAAAAACTTCTTGAATCCTTAATTATTTACCCGAAATTACGACATCTTTACCGAAAGACACAAAATCGAGATCTCGACAATACATAGCTCGGGCAAAGAGACTGGACACAAGTAAACGCGATACTTCATGTTAAGAATAGTGTGCTGCCTTCGGCGGCAATTACACAACTAACATAACACTTGCAGATTAATCTTTCTCGACAGGCCGGTTTCGTATTACATTTCGATTCAATTTTTCTAATATAAATATCTCGGCGAGTATTTAATTTAATTTATTAGCTTTGCCTTGTAGATAACTATATTACAATTAATGGCAGGGAGTCCGTAACAGCACTTAGCCAATTACTACGGCCCCGTAAAACTAACATTAAAACTAATATTACAAATTTAACAAATACAATAATCAACTAACAACAAACAGCATATGAAAATAACAACAATACGTCTTTCATATGCAGCACGAGATTGGAATACTAAGACTACGAACAGAGTTACACTTTGGACAAATGGTTTTGTACGAACGAGGGTCGTTGACATTGTAACAAGTTCTTAATGACATAGAGTAATAATTAAAAATGACAGTTTTAAATGTAGAGAAACCACATGTGTCCAGTTTTAGTTGATCAGCGAGGAGGTTCCAGATCCGAGTTGATCGGATAAAGAAGGATCGTTGATAGGTGGATGTCTTGCATTTCGGAATGACATATTTGGTGGAAGTACTGGTGGAAGATCTAGTTTGTCTGGAGGTGCGGATTGTTGGAAGGGGAGATTCATTTATGTCTACAAGTCCGTGGGTAATCTTGTAAAAGAGAACCATGTCAAGGTACTCATGCCAATAACAGATTGGTAGGAGCGATAGAGCCTGGAGCCTGGTGGTATAGTCCATGGTACTGGAAAATGGTAACTCGAGGATGAATCTAGTTGCTCTTCTCTGTGTGCGCTCGACTTGTTTCAACAGTTCAACTGACTGTGGAGCCCATATTTGTGTTGCATACCCTAGGTGTGGTCTTACAAGGGCCAGATACAGCGTGCGCCGGACTGAGGTGTTGTGGATATACAGAGATGATCTTCGGATGTATCCAAGTAACTTGTTTGCTTTGGTCGATTGTTCGTTAACTTGTTTGTTCCACGTAAGTTTGTTCTCCACCCACACGCCGAGATCTCGTTCACTGTCAGTTTGTTGTATGTTTAGGGTGTTAAGTTTGTAGTTGTTCGTGATTGGCATGGTTTTTCTCGTGATTCGTTGTGATTTACACTTTTTCTCGTTGAAAGGGAGGCCAGACGCTAATGACCATGTTTGCAGGTTGTCAAGATCACTTTGGAGGCGTTTACAGTCGTCTTCTCTTTTGACGGAGGTGAATAGTTTGGTATCGTCGGCGAACATTGCAACTTGGCTGGTTGTGACCGCGTCAGGAAGATCGTTGACGTACAAGACAAAGAGGAGAGGGCCAAGAATTGAGCCTTGAGGTACGCCTGAAGTTACTGGGAGGGTATTTGATGTTGCACCAAGGACAGTCACACGTTGTTTACGATTAGTTAGGTAGGAGTGAAACCATTGGAGAAGTTTACCTCCAAATCCTGCCATGCGCAATTTGTATGCGAGGCGCTCGTGGTTAACTTTGTCAAAAGCCTTGGATATATCAAGGTAAATAGCGTCAATCTGCCCTCCAGCGTCCAATTCCAAGCCAATGAATTCAAGAACTTCCAGAAGATTCGTTATGCATGATTTGCCTGAAATAAATCCATGCTGTGATTTCTGTATTAGTTGGAATAG